TCTCCCTCTCTCCCTCCCTCCCCCCCCCCACGCACTTTGGTTTTGGAGACAGAGTTTCTCTGTATAGTTTTGGTGCCTCTCCTGGATCTTGCTCTATAGACCAGGCTGGCCTCGATTCGCCTGCCTCTGCCTCCCGAGTGCTGGGATTAAAGGTGTGCGTCACCACTGCCCGGCTCCTGTTCTGCTTTCTCTTGATGTCAACAAGGTGCACAGACGGGCTGGTAATACAGCTCAGTGGTAGAGGATAGCCTAGCCAGTGTAAGACCCTAGGGTTCATTCCTAGCCCTGCAACTCTGCCCACAACTCTCAGACCCCTACACAATAAATACGGCACCCCCACAATAATCTGGTTTACTGAGGGACAGGTACTGTAAGGGGACATGGGGTATCGTTTCTGTTCATTCTCAGATGGTACTTCTGCAGGCAGCTTCCACAGAGCCCGGGTAGCTGACCTCTCCCAGAGCTGAGAACCATGGAAAGCTTTAAAGCAAACAATCCATGTCACCTTTGTAGCCTCAGCATTACACGAGGTTCACTTGTAGATGACTGGCCAGTGTTTGCATCTGGGGGACATAATTTCCTTATAGGAATGTATTCAGTTTGTTTATTTATTTAGTTTTATGTGTGTGAGTGTTTCGTCTGCATGTATACATGTGCACTCTGTACAGTCCTAGTGTACAAAGGTCAGAAGAAGATATTCAAAGCCTTGCAACTGGAGTTACTTACAGATGGTTGTGAGCCACCATGTGGGTGCTGGGATTGAATCCAGGTCTTCTGCAAGAGCAACAAGTGCTCTAAACTACTGAGCCATCTCTCCAGCCCTGGGAATATACTAAAGGGATAAAATGAAATCTACCCAGACTCTGCAAGCAGACTTATTTCAAACCCCAGCACCATAAAGAAGAGGAAGAAGAGGGAGAGAAAAGGAGGAGGAGGAGGAGAAGAAGAAGAAAAAAGGAAGAAGAAGAAGAAGAAGAAGAAGAAGAAGAAGAAGAAGAAGAAGAAGAAGAAGACGATGACTTAGAGGTTTAGCTTAGTAGTGATCGTGATTACAGAGGATGCATGAGGCCCCCAGTTTCATCAGCAGCACCATAAAACAAAGAAGAGGTGCAGTGACTTAATAGCTCTTTGTGTAGATACTCCAGGCCCAAGGGGACTAACTCTTGTCTTCCAAGTGCAAGGTGAGAGAGCACAGGGAAGAAGGAGGCTACTGGGATGGGAAGGACCTATTGATTTCCACTCATTCTTTTTCTGGGCCTCAACTCGCTGAAGGATTCCCCCAGAGCCTCCTGTGGCCTAGTTGTCTGAAGTATCAGTGGTTAAACCAAACAGTCTAGGTATAATAGCTGTGGCCATGCTTACTTTGTATTCTTGCCCCCTGGTATTGGGGAGACCTGTTCCAGGAACCTCTAGGGTACCAAAAATCTACAGATGCTCAAGTCCTTCATATAAAATGGCATGACATTTGCGTATGGCCTGGGTAATCCTGTGCAGCTCAGCCCTGCTTAGGTGGCATAATACAAAGTGTAAATGCCTTGGAGATGGTTTTGAATCCTGAATGGTGAGGGAGTAATGACCCCAAAAAAGGTCTCTGAGGGTTCAGTGCAGACAGTAATTCCCCCTGGTAGTCTCTGTCTGTGGTTGTTTGAATCCATGGAGGTAGACCCCATGGCGCCTAAGAGTCATGGAGTACCTTTGTCTTTGTTCCTTTTGGTTTCCACAGTACTCTTGGAGGGAAATTGGGCAAAGGTGGAAAGAAAAATCTCATTTCAACTAACTTAGCATCCTTAATTGTTAGGACAGAGAACTGAGTCCAGAGAGGGAATTGCCTCTACCAGTGCTTTCCGGGGAGCTGAGAAGCTAACTATAGGTGTTGGAACTCCGTGTCTGTTCTGTCTCACCAGGACTTTGGGAGAAAGGGATGGGTCTTGTCTTCGTGTTGTTGGTGAGAAGCTCCATGAAGGTGGTGGCCAACCCAGAGCTGGCCCACAGAAAGGGTCATACTGCCTCCATATATGAGTTCAAGTCCTGATGGCATTACCCCTAAGTGGCCTTGAAGAAAATCATGTTTTTCTTAAATTGTTAACCAGCCATCTTTGGTCCTTGTAGATTGCACAGATTGAACTTGAGAATGTGTCTTAGCAACAGTGTGTTTGTTCAACCTGTGTAGTTGACAAGGAGATCGGCGCTCTCTTAACCAGGCAATGGGATTTCCTGTACTGCACACATGTACAACACTGAGATGCTCCCTTCTCGGAGGCTGAGATATCTTACTTCTGCCTTGCCTGGCCCTAGGAGAGATCTGGCCAGCACTCTGGGAACATGAGTTCTGATCTACTCACACAGGGTAGAAAGGGGATCCATACTCAGCCACTGTTTTGGTATATGGCATCAGTTTTACTATAGCTAAAAAGAGAGTTTGTATTTCTTTTTGAGACAGGGTTTTATTTTGTTGCCCAGCCGGGCCTCTCAAGTAATGGGACTAGCATGGGCCACCATGCCTGGCACAAGGTCTGGATTTTGGCTTTCAAACTTTCTAAGCAACAAAACTCCTTTTTTGGTGGGGGGAGACAGAGGCAGGTGGATCTCTGTGAGTTCAAGGCCAGCCTGACCTCCTTAGAGAGTCCCAGGACAGTCAGAGCTACACAGAGAGATCCTGTCTCAATAAAATAAGATAACGTATTGGTACCTCAGCACATAAACCAGGTGAGGGCACAGCTGTTCTGATTGGTGTGATGAGGAACCTGGGACTCTCCCAGCTGTCCTTTTCCCGGCTCACCATATCCCTGTTCCTGTAGACCCTGTACACTACAATGCACTTCAGGATCCCCGAGTTCCTTCAGCTTCCAACTCTGGTGACTCTTGTGGCCATGAATGCATTCCCTCAGCCCCCACTGTGTGCTGGCTGTTGTAGCCTAGAGCACTTGGTGAAGACTGTCCTCAGCCTGAGAACATCAGGTGGCGGTCCCAGAGCTGACCCCTTAGTTTGTCTCTGCTGTGTCCTAAGAGAGGTCACATCCTTCCTGAGAGAGGGGCCCAAGCACATGCCAACGCCCTGTGATGCCTCCTAGGACACAGGTCTAGGGTGAGTGTAGGGCGCCTTGAACCCCCTTCCCACCGAGCAGCAGCTCTGCCCAGCTGGGTACGTTTCCGAGAGGAGGGTGGTGGGTCAGTGGGGACCTGGAGGTGACTTGCTTTATTTGGCTTCTCAGGAGAAAGCCGTCAGCATCTGGGAGTCCAAGGATTTCTTCTTTGAACTTGAACCTCTGCCAGGGGCTGTGGAAGCTGTGAAGCAGATGGCCAATCTGCAGAAGTGAGTATGCCTGCTTGCCTGGCTGCCTGGGGACTCCACAGGCCAGCTCCACACCTTTATCTTGCTGTCTTGCCCTTCTCTCCTCAGCCCCGCAGAGGCCCATTACATTCTCATTGCTGACCCCGGCAAAAGACCTTCCAGGCACATGCTGTGGGCACCAGCCTGACTGTGACACACAGCCTGGGCTTTGCCCACCAGGGAAGTCCAGCTTGCCGTTGTGAAGCAGTCATGTGGGGCAGATGAGCCTAGTCTGCCAAGTCCTGAAGAGAGGGTGAGCAGTAGGCCTCGCTTGGAAGAGGGGGTTCAGAAAGGACAGAGGTGTCATTTTGTTCTGGTGAACCGAGAGCTTGTGTGTGGTGAAGCCCTCACCTCACCTTCTACGGTCCTCTGAAGCCGATCGGAACTTCCCTGAGATCTTCTAGCACAGCCTTACTGACGTGTACGCCACACCTTGTAGCTTACCCGTTCCGAGTGTACAGTTCAGTGGCTTTAGAGCACTTACAAGGTATGGAGCCATCGCTGCTGTCCATTTCAGAATTGTTTTCATTGTCCCCTAATGTCAAGCCCATTAGCACACTGCTCATTCCTGCCCTTCCATGGTCCCTAAGAGCCACTGATCCACTTTCTGCCTCCAGGGCTTTGCCTGTTATAGACAGTTCATGTAAGTGCTACCATCCAGTGAGTGGTCTGGCTTCTTAATGATTTTAAGGTTTATCCATCTTGTAGTAGCTCCTGATAACTCACTGTTCTCTTGTGAGTGTGTGTGACTGGAGATGGAATTCAGGACATTTTGTATGACAGGCAAGGGCTGTAACCATTCAGCTACACCCCCAATCAAGTACTTCTGCTTTTGACAACTGAATAGTATCCATTGTATAGACAGACTGCATTTTGTGTACCCATTCATTAGCTGGTGGACATTTGGACTGTTTTCGTCTTTCGACTTTGTGGGTAGTACTGCCATGAAATTTGTGTTAGCATTTGTTTGAACGCTTGCTATTACTTCTTTGGGGCATATACCTTGAAGTAAAACTGTGAGGTCATAGGATAGTTCTATATTTAATGTTTTAAAGAACCATCGAGCCTTTGCCCTAAATTTCAGGAAGACTGCGGTTTCTTGATGTGCTTGCCAACACTCGTTATTGTCTCTTATTTTTTTAGCTGTCCTGGCAGTGGCTGTGACTATGGTCTCTCATTGTGGTTTTTCTTTTTTGTGTGTTTTCTTTAAGATTTTAATTCAGATAGGTTCTCACTATGTAGCTCCGGCTGGCCTAGAGCTTGTTATGTAGACCAGACTGGCCTTGAACTTTCCGGCGCCCTCTTCCAGCATGGTCCCCGAGGTACAGGAGTATTGTTGTAGATGTCGATCTCCACTGGGATGGGATAACTTTTGATCAGTTGTGGCCTTCTGTGGTGGCCTCTGCCTGTGCCTCCTCCTCCCTACCTAAAGGTTTAGTTGGGATGAAGGAGAACGGCACGGAGGAGTCCGAATTGGCCGGGCTGTCTGTATTGAGGCTGAAGAGTTAGTTGGGTGCAGGTAAAGCTTGGGACTGAGGGTTTCTTAGAACAGTCATTCTAAGCTCTGTCGGTAGGCAGCATGTGGTGGAGCAGGGCGGGGTGAGGAGAAGGCTGTGTGGCCCGGGCCTCAGCAGCCAGGCTTTGGAAGGAGCAGCGAAGACGAGGGAAGGCAGCTTGTTTCTGAGGTGTGGGGGTGAGGAGAAGCCTGTCTGCAGTCAGCCCTTCGTGTGAGGCAGCTCCAGAGAGGCTGGGCTCGATACTGTCGCTCTGCCAACTCTGTTGTCTCTCTGCACCCGATGTTTTCCTGAACACTGAGCAGGTACAAGCAAAACCCCCAGAGGCCACCAGACAGGTCTCTATACAACCCCCCAGGGACTAATTTGCCAAAGAGAGTTGGAGAAACGCCACTCCTACAGCTCAGCTTGATGGGCCAGCCCGTACAGGCGCCAGCGTAGAACACAATGTTAGGACTGTTTGGGACGGGGTGGTGTTGGTGGTTGGGGATCCATCCTGTGGCTGTGGCTGTGGGGAGGGGCGAGCACCTGGGAAGCCCTTCTTGGTCAGGATCAGCAGCCCAGAGGTGTGACAGTGCATTCATCATGCAAAGCCCATGTCCCTCCTGAGGCCCCAGAGCTGGAGAGCTTGTCTCGGTGGAGCCTGGCTCACTTCCTGTGCAGCCTGCAGCCAGACGATGGAGAATCGTTTCCTTTCCATCAGCTGGGGATGCAGCTCTCTTTTAACTGTCTGTAGACGCTACAGTATATATTCCCTTTATTTTCTCCCTCCTCCGTTGCTGGTGCTGGAGAAGGAACCCACGGCCTTGAGACACGCCTTTTCTACCACTGCGCCCCCAGCCTCCGCATCCTTTCAATACTGTGCTTCTTACCAAACGCTTCTCTCTCTCCCTGCTTTCTTACTCAACTAGAGTCCGCAATTAACCCTGCTAACCTTCTGGGCCTAGTCCTGCAGGAATTGCCCACCTCAGAGTTTGTTGCCTGTGGCCAGGGCATATCATATGTTGCTTCCCAGGATCTTTGAGTTGGGCAGGAATTGCACGTTGTAGCCCCTTGTGTGGGAAGGTGCAGAACAGTGGGTTTTCCCGTAATGGGTACAGGCTTAGACCCTGGCTACAGTGGTGTGGATGTAGATGCGGGGCTCGGCTAGCAGAGGTGGGCAATGCACAGTGGTGTGGATGTAGATGCGGGGCTCGGCTAGCAGAGGTGGGCGGTGCGCAGTGGTGTGGACACAGATGCGGGCCTCGGCTAGCAGAAGTGGGTGGTGCGCAGTGGTGTGGACACAGATGCAGGGCTCACTGCGCTTTCTCTTCCGACAGCACTGATGTCTTCATCTGCACAAGCCCCATCAAGATGATCAAGTACTGTCCCTATGAGAAGGTAAGGAGTCTGTCCCAGGCCAGGGCTGCTGTGTGGCACAAGGCCCCATCCTGGTGCGCCCTCCCTCTCTCCACCAGCCTAAGGCTCTGTCTGTCTCATGGTCTGGATGGACTTGTTACAACGTGGGCTTGGTGGGATTGGTACCTGCCACGTTTATCAGCTGTGCCTGGTCCAGGAAAGTCTGGTGAAGCAGGTGACAGGGATCAGGGAGGGGCCAGGCGCTCAGGGACATCCATGCATGAACAGAGTCTTTTCATTTACTTTCACACTCTCTCTTGTGGTACTGGGCCTCGAACTCAGAGCATCACGCATGCCAGGCCAGTGCTCTGCCACTCAACTTCGTCCTCAGGCTTACGTGAAAAGTCTGACCAAGAGCTGGTCATGGTGGGCCAACCTGTAACACCAACACTCGGTAGGCTGAGGAAGGGGGATTGAAAATTCCAGGTCAGCCTGTGCTACATAGTGAATTTGAGGCCAGTTTGGGCTATAGTGAAATCCGTCATGGCCCCCTTCCTAAAACAAAAACCAAGAAAGAACGTATAAGCAAAGCAAACCAAGTTTTTTCTGTGAGCTCCTTTGTCTAATGAAGAAGTAAAACGGTCCAAGCGGTTGCTTTCTGCACTGGGCAGGATGATTGGGCCACCACACCTTGTGGGGTTCTCAGATACTCCTGTGAACTCAAGAGGCTGGGTTCCCAATCACCTCCACCCCCTCAGGCTTCACATCTTCATGCTGAGTGCTTCTGAGTATCTCTACCTTCCTCTCTTCCCACACAAGCCTTCCTCACCTTGAGTTGTTTGTATGCCTTGCTGGGTCAGCTGGTGCTCATCCTGACCCCTTTGAACTGTCAAGTCTGCGTTCGTTTCAGCCCGAGGGAGTGGGTGTTCAAGCCACAGCTTGTGGGTGGAGCGAGGAGTGAAGGCTGGGTCTCCTCTTTGTACCAGAAGACCGATCCACAAAGGAGGTTCTGGACAGGTGGGGACTGGTTAGAAACAGACATTTCAGTAACACTGACTTTTTGAGCCAGAAACTCTGGGAGTGGCAGCGTGGTCTCAGCCAACTTGTCAGATGGTTCTGCTGGACCCCTAAACTTGAGCCGTGAGGGTCAAGTGATTGGATGACTGGCCAGTACTAGTGCCCTGGGTGGCTGTCAAGTTCCTTTATAGAAACCAGTGTGGTATGCACACATCTCCCCTGTACTTGAGTACTTAAGCCATCCCCAGTGACTACAATACCTGATACAATATGCATGCCTTTGCTGTGGCCTTCTTCTCGTCCTCCATGGCTAATGATATGGGCTTTGTTTCCTGTGTTCTCTTTCTGAAACATGCCTGGCATCTGTCTGCTTCTCTTATTGCTGTGATTTTAAATTTCTTTGTAGAACTAATGAAACTTTATAAGGTGGATCATGGCAGCCCTGTGTTAATTACTTTACTATAAAAATAAGCCTGAAGGCCTGTCTGGCTCTTTCCATCCATGGAGTTCCCACCTTCTGTGTTTTATGCTGTCCTTGACTTGTACTATGGCTCAGATGTGAACTGCCCTCTGTAGACTCATGTGACTGCTTAGCCCCTAGTTTGTGGTGCTGCAGAGGGAGGTTGTGGAACCTTGAAGAGATGGGGTCTGGCTGGCAAATGTGGGTTGCTGGGGGCAGGTTTATGGGCTGGAAACCCGCTTCCAACCTGGGGTTCTCTAATCTCTGTTTCCTGGTCCATCCAGATGTGAGCCAGCTTTCCCCATGCCTTCCCTGCCGTAATAGATGGTGTGTCCTCAAACCATGAGCCAGAACCAATCCGTTCTTCCTTAAGTTTCTTCATCCAGGGTCTTTATTGCACTGACCAGCACAGTAACTAATGCAGTTGGCAATGTCTCACATCTGCTGACCACCATAGCTAATGTTGATTCTGTCTCTGCTGTGCCATAGCAGAGACATAGCAGTCTCAGCCTGGTTTCCTGCACACCGCTCAGATTGGCTCCGTTTCTTTGTTCCTGGGTTATTTTCTGTCTCCTACCAGACTGAGGTCTGCAGAGGTGGTAAGTGCCCTTCCTTCTTCCCCAGCACAGAGCTAGGCACCTGGAGAACACTTGAGCCGATCCATTGTTCAACAGAGAACTATCAAAGACATTTAAAAAAGTATTTTTTGAATTGCATACATGAGTACTGTATTTACATAATTTCTACCCATCCTCCCTCTCCAACACCTCCCCTGCTCTCCCTCCCTCTCAGCTTCATAAGCTCTTCTTTAATTAGCCTTCTTCTCTCCCTCCCTCCATCCCCTCCCTTCACCTCTCCTTTCCTCCTTCCTCTTGAGCCCATTTAGTGTTGTTGCGTGTACATACATATGCTTAGAGGTAGCCTCTTGGGATAGGATAACCTAGCAGGGAGCTCATCCCTGGAGAAAATGGACTCTCCCACTCAGCAGCCATTGATTCCCTGTAGCTCTTCATCTAGGGATGGGGCCTTGTGAAATTCCTCCCAATCACATTAACGTGTCAACAGGTTTTCTCCTGTGTAGGTCTGGTTTAGGTATTGTAGAGGTTTCGTGGGTAAAGCTTCCTTGTCCTGTCTTGAAGACACCATTTCAAAGCAGGCATCCTGGTCTGGTTCTTATGACCTTTTCCGCCCCCTTCTCTTGTTTTTCCTGAGCCTTGGGCATAGGGGTTGTGTTGTAGATGTATCAGTAGGGGGTGTGCACCCCATTGTTCTCTGCATTTGACCAGTGTGGCTCTCTGTGATAGTCCCCATCTGCTGCAGAGAAGCTTCTCTCTGCAGAACTGAGAGCTGCGGTTACGGGTCTACAGATACAAACTTAGAATGCAGTAAGGAGTTACAGGGTTTAGGGAAATGGAAGGAAGAGAGTCTCCTCTAGGGTCTGGCCTCTCCAGCCATGATGGGTAGTTGGCTACATTCGCAGTCCCGAGTTCGTGTCCTGAGTTCCCTCCACTGAGTAAGCCTTAGGTCTGCCTGCCAACACTCTGCAGCCGCCCCTGCTTAAACTTCACCTCACGGTCCCTCCTCTGCCTTCATCTCACACGTTGTTGATCATCTTTTAAGCAAACCCCTCTATTTGTTGTGAGATGAAGTGCTCCAGTCTTTGCTGGTTTTTCACTGGGTTGCTGTGTGTCCGCTTGTGTGAGAATCCTTCTGTATTCTAGAGACCAGTCCTTCATCAGGTGATGGGTTCTGCAGATATTTTCCCAGTCTGTGGCTTTTCATCTCCTTAGGTTTTTAAAAACTGTTGTTGCTTTTTAAAACCTTTCTTTCTTTTTTTGGCTTTGGTTTTTATCGAGACAGGGTTTCTCTGTGTAGCTTTGGTGCCTGTCCTGGAACTCACTCTGTAGCCCAGGCTGGCCTCGAACTCACAGAGATTCGCCTGGCTCTGCCTCCCAGGTGCTGGGATTAAAGGCGTGCACCACCACCACCACCACCACCACCACCACCGCCTGGCTTTCAAACATTTTTATATATTTTTTATTTTATTTTCTGTGTGTGTCCACAGGGCCTCCTGCTACACTGCATGTAAGTTGGTCAGATGACAGCTTGTGAGAGTCAGTTCTCTCCTTGTCCCGTGTGGGTCCTGAAGGTCAGACTCAGGTTGTAAGCCTTGACTGTAGTGCCTGTCCCACCATCAGCCTATTGTCGCTTTGTTTTTGGAGGCAGAATTTCCCTGAATAGCCCTGCTGGCCTGGAACTTGCGATTCTCATACTGCAGCCGTCCAAGATTACAGGTGTGAACTGCCATGCCTGGCTTAGCAGAGTCTTTTTTTTTTTTTTAATTAAAAAAATTTAATATAACATATAGTCACATATATTTGGTCACATTCTTTCCCATCCCCCAAGGGCCCCCAGGTTCCCCCTCCCTACCCATCCCATTTCATATTCTTTTTCCTCTCTTAAAAAAATTACAAAATCAAAACAAAGTACAAGCAGAAAAGAAAGAAAATATGATAGAACAAAACATGGCTTCTGTTGGCCAACCATTCCTGAGCATGCAGCTTTATTTCTCCAAGTCAGCAGCCCAAACGTGAAACCTCTTCAGCAACAGGCTCTTACATTCAGTCCTGGAATGCAACCAACAACTCTGGTGATGGCCTTTATTGTTTCAGGGGCTTCTAGGACCTCTGTGGTCATCAACTCCTAGAGAGATTGCCCATTCTTAACACTGGGGTTCCCAATTAACCACCTTACGGCTTCTGGGTGCATCTATTTTCACCTTTTGTGTCTCTTTAACATTGATAGGAACAGGGCATTGCAAACTTTCCCTATCTGTTTGGTGGGTATTGCTTGTGCCTTACCCAGCCATAAAGCTCCCACAAATTCCACAGCAACACCTGTTTGTGCCCTTTGTTAACTAATGTCCCGTGCTGGCTTCTTCAGGTACACTCACGTTTCTTAAGTGAGTCTCCAAATCTCCACGACCCTAGGGTTAGCCTTGTGCTGTCCATATGTAACGAAACCTTTCTACACAGGCTGGGCAGAGTGGCGATCTGAAGTCTCATAATGAATAGGGAGTGGGACTGTGGAGTAAGCCTGGCGGAGCACTTGGAAGTCCGTTGTCGTCTGTTTTGAGCTGTGTCAGGCGATGACAGGAGTTCACTGCTCAGGCGATACTAAAGTCAGCCATAGCAAGGTCTAACAGTGCGGGAAGATTTTACCCGTTAGTATCAGGTGTTCCCTCCACAGATCCAGAGGTGGATCGGAGGCACTAGCTGAGCTCTCCCCAGCTCTCAGTGGCTCTCTCTGAGCCATTTCACTTCCACAGCCTGGAGCTCTTCCATGGGACCTCCCCATATTTTCCTACCTTTGATGAACTTGTTAAGGGTGGGGCAATGAGATCCACCCCTCTGCTCACCCTGGTTCCCTGAGTCAGGGAAGCTCTGGGTTGGCACTATGGCTGGAGCTGCAGCTGTGGTCTCCATCCATCACACCTGGCTACTGGGGCAGGCCTTGGCTTAGCAAGCTGTTTATACCTTTAGCACCTTTTTGGGGGGAGGGGGAC